TCCCTGTTGGTGCATGTTTCCCTGTCTTATTCCTATCCTCCTTAGCACCAACAATGGAGCTCCCACCAGTTGTTTTTGGTAATTTATCCTCACTATTGCTATTGGATCCTCTTGTTTGCTATTTTCCTGCGGATTTCTGGTTTGCAATATTGGTTTTTATCTTATCTTTGACTAAAACTTGTTTCCCTACTATGGCTCCTGTCCTCTTGAGGTCATTTATATGTATTCCTTCCTGCGTATAATTCCCGACTACCTGGACAAATCTCCAGCTTCACCATTACTGTCTACCAGGACAGTATCTCCAGCTTCACCATTTCTGTCTCCCAGGACAGCACCTCCAGCTTCACCATTACGTCTCCCAGGACATTATCTCCAGCTTCACCCATTAAATGTCTCCCAGGACAGCACCTCCAGCTTCACCATTACTGTCTCCCAGGACAGCACTATCAGCCCTACATTTACTGACTACCAGGACATCACCTCCAGCCTTACAGTTTGTGACTACATGGCCAGTAAACAAGGGCAGTTAACCATTCAGCCCGGACTTTTTTATGTTCCCATCTGTTGTAGAAAGCTTCCAGGTTTCTATGAAAGCAGCTTTGATGTTATCCTCTTTTAATACCCTTGTGATTTTAGTCCACAGATTTTCCTCATTCTATTAATTCTATTAATTATAAATGGATTTAATTTATATATTTCCTTTGGTTTATATAAATTAGATCCATTTATAATTAATAGAATTTGGGAAGAATTTAATAATACACTGGACAAATAATAATTTTTAAATTTTTTTGGGTAGAATAGTTTGTGGGGGAGTTGTGCAAAGGACCTATCCAAGTTGGGTCGGCGCGCGTCAGGTGTTTAACCGTTGTGGGATCTGATAGTGAGGGTGCTGGCCAGACCCCTTATATAGCTTCCTTGGATGCTTTCTTTCATAGTTCCTTGATAAATGTGAGTAGTCACGAAAGCGTTGGAATTTACTCTATTCTTTCAAAGTGGTTGTTTTGCATATATATATATATATATATATATATATATAAATAATATATATATAAATATATATATTATATATATATATATATATATATATATATATAAATTTTTATATATATAAACACACACACACGCAAGAATTTACTTTAGGGATCACAATACTGTATTCTTATCATTAGTGTACAGGAAACAAAGAGTTTTAATCTGACAAACTTTTATCGTTCACTGGGTATTATGATGGGAATCCGCAGTTAACAAAGCGACAGTTTCAGTATAACTGAACTTCACACGTAAGATATTGCATTTATTGCTAGTGCTGAATGACTCATAATGACTTGGCGCTTTTTGAGAGCATAATACAGTATTTACATTTGTTCTATAATGAATAGCATTTGCAAATCTGTGATGTTCATGTAGCTACTTGAAAGTACTGGTCTCCTCATTTATTTAAATATTTATATTATGTGGTTAATGCAGATTACAAACAGGATGAGCCACAGAATCTCGCTTCGGGGCTCCATTCCATACATAATTACCGTTAGATTCTACTTCACTGCAAAAAGATTGTTTCCTGTGTGTCAGGTCTCCCAAGTACTTCTGGCAGTTTGGGAGACACACAGATGATGATAAAACTAAATGCAAATTATGTGATCAGGCATATGGTCACTGTCTTGAACACTATGTGCTTAACTGTCCACATACTGAGGAATACAGACAGTATAATAACCTATGTGACATGTCAAGATATCTTATTAATGAAAATAAGATACCAGATATACTAAGCAAATTTCCTAAATTTGCTTGTAACAGATAAGTGAACTGTAGATATGTAGATATAAACCCATATGTATTCCTGTTAACCCTTTTGGGGCCTAGTTCATAGGCCTTTTGTGTATCCATTTGCTCTTGCGCTACCGTCCACAGGATGGATATGGGGTGCACAATAAACTAGCCACTTTAGTAGCAAAATCTAATCTAATCCTGTGTGTCAGCCATTGTTTCATTATAACAGCTTTTCCTAATGTTTTCCTATGCATGAAATAACCTGGGCATCCAACTGACAAGAAAGGCTTATTAAATAACAGTCCATATGGAGAATCCACTGTATGCTGTGCCCGCAGTTAACATATTTATTTCATTAATCACTAGTATTACAATTTTGAGAGTAACTGATTGCTGAAAACATATTTACTGTACTCTATCATGGTTAGTTGGGCAATAAGGCTTCAAGTCTATCAACTTCACTACGGTTATTTAGTAAAGGCTGCAGGCAAGAATTTTATTAATCCCTAAAATAATGATTAACTTAAATTTTCAGCCTATATACGCTAAGGTAAATACACCACTCAAGGTATATGTGAATCTATCATATGGATTTTGGACTGATAAGTAATTAGGTTAAAATATAAAGCACACTTTTAAATATTTTAACATAAGATAAAGCAAAAACTACAAGCCTACATTTATTTAATGTGTGGAAAATACTGTATATATTTTCCGGAAATACGGTAATTTATAGGTAAATAGATGCCCTATATTGTATTTTTAAAAGAAGTATGATATCGAAAATGGTAAACCTGCGGCTGGGGGAGTCACTCGCCATCTTGGTTTTGAATTGGATACAACGTTAATATAATGGGAAGAATTTTTCGTGCTCTAGAGGTTAAAATTGGATTGACACCTCTCAAATAGGAGGCGAAATTGTTGGATGTGCATTCCTGCATAACTTGAGATATCAGACGACTGGACAAGACAGCTCCATGAACCTCAGATAAGCTCTCAAGATTTGTGTATAATTCTGGCCAGTGTTTTCATAAATTTAGCTAGTGAGGTTTTTCTGGGTATGATACAACTTAATATCCAGTCAAATTGGTGAGTGATATTAAGATATATTTTCCTTCTGTTATGTATATGTGAATTTATATATAATCATTTTTTAATATACAGTCCACAAATTTATATATTTATCAGTATTCCTGGTGTATGTATATTTCATTTAATTAATAGGTCCAGAGCAACTTGTGGTTATGACAGTGGTAGGTATCGAAGGGGGACATTTTTTGCGACCTAGGTGTCCCAAATTCCTACTTGTCTAACTGATAAATAATAATTATCTGTTCATTTACTGTTATGTACATAATGATACATTCAGCTAAATGCAATTTTCCACATTTAATTTGCCCGTTGCTGTCATTTCACATATAATTATTAAGTAATTAACCAATTAATGACTTCACTAATTACCTCCGGTTCAAGAAGGATCAACGGGAAAATTAAATGTGGAAAATTGCATTTAGCTGAATGTATCATTATGTACATAACAGTAAATGAACAGATAATTATTATTTATCAGTTAGACAAGTAGGAATTTGGGACACCTAGGTCGCAAAAAATGTCCCCCTTCGATACCTACCACTGTCATAACCACAAGTTGCTCTGGACCTATTAATTAAATGAAATATACATACACCAGGAATACTGGTAAATATATAAATTTGTGGACTGTATATTAAAAAATGATTATATATAAATTCACATATACATAACAGAAGGAAAATATATCTTAATATCACTCACCAATTTGACTGGATATTAAGTTGTATCATACCCAGAAAAACCTCACTAGCTAAATTTATGAAAACACTGGCCAGAATTATACACAAATCTAGAGAGCTTATCTGAGGTTCGTGGAGATGTCTTGTCTAGTCGTCTGATATCTCAAGTTATGCAGGAATGCACATCCAACAATTTCGCCTCCTATTTGAGAGGTGTCAATCCAATTTTAACCTCTAGAGCACGAAAAATTTTTCCCATTATATTAACGTTGTATCCAATTCAAAACCAAGATGGCGAGTGACTCCCCCAGCCGCAGGTTTCCCATTTTCGATCATACTTCTTTTAAAAATACAATATAGGGCATCTATTAACCTATAAATTACCGTATTTCCGGAAAATATATACAGTATTTTCCACATAATGAATACTATTTATTGATTTTTTAATAATAATAATAATAATAATAATAATAATAATTCGATAAGAAATGTACCTGACAGAGAATTCATTATTATTACATATTAGGGTAGATCATGTTAACTGGGTTACTCAGAACTTGTGGATTTTTTTTACATAATTTTCCCAAATGTAGAACATATAAACGTAAATAGATAATAATGAGTATATTTGTGATGCTATTTGAACCCTTAGAGAAATTTTAAAGTGAAAGGGAGGGGTAGGGAGGGGGGGGGGAGAACAGAGGCAGTGACACAGACGGGAAGGACGCCATAGTGAAACTGAATGTGTGAACACTGGTCTGTTAGTTGTGTAATGTAATCAGGCGTCATTGAGATCCAATTGGTGTATATCGGCCTCAATCCATAATTTAGAAATTGCTGACACGTTCCCACTGAAGAATTGGGATAAATAGTGGAAAACCCTAACAATTCAGCAACAATTATGGAGAAATAGAGGACTCCGATTCTTCCCAGCAGCATACCTTATCTAAGTGACGCTTACCCATAATGTCCAGTAGTTTTGCATTGGCCATCATAAATTCTAGCTGTTAGGGTAGCGTTAGGGTGTGTTCCAAAATAATTATGATCCAATTACAATAAGTCAGTGGTAAGTGGTAATACGAATTTCTTTTCTAATAACACTATTGTATTATGTATTGTGCAATAGTTATATTCTGCATACCCCGCAAGCCAAATAATATATAGTCCACATTATTTTAGAATTTACCATTATTGGTATTAATGTTTAATACTGCAATTATTAATTTAATGTCAGGTCAAGCTTTTTTTGTGAGAGTGGTGATGGAGTGGGCATCGAAGAAGTGAGAGTCCTGTGACCTACAGTGACTAAGTCCCACTTACATCACCCAAATTACTTGCACAATAATTCAGGTAATACCCTGTAAACCTCTTGGAGGCAATTTCTCACATAATTCATAATGTTGCAAACTCATAATACTGCAAAAAAAGAGCCATTTGGAATGACATACTCACTAGAGAGGTGATGAGTGCAGTGGCTGGAGTCCTAAAGGTGGGCAGGGAACGCAGGAGCACGTAGAAACCCAATGCGAAGGCCACCAACACGAACACATACATAGCCATAAACTTTAGCACGTTCTTAGCCACAGTGGAGAACATGACGATGTAGACCCCACAGCTGGGGAACTGGCCAGTAAAAAGCATGAGCCGCACCCAGGCTAAGATTATAGCTATAGCACCAACCTGCTGCTGCCACAATGCTAGGCAACACACTGCCAGTTCCCCATTGGTTTCCATTTCATATGCTGAACGTCCTACCAGCAGCTGTGGGACACACAGTACTAGAGCAGCATCCAAGAGGTTCCCAAGGTTATAAATGTAAATGAAGGGGTTTTGTGTTACCTGGATAACTTCTCGAAGATCTAGTAAGGCAGAGAAGATAACCAAACACCACCAGGTTAAGCCCACTACACCCGCCTCCAGGGCCGTCCACCGACATACTGCTGTTGCTTTGCTGTTAGCATCCGTCGTGAGGTTTGTGATCTGTGCAGATGTGTTGCTGGCATCATTGGTATGCTCTGGGCAGTTGCTGGATGACAGCAGGAAGGCCGTGAGACTTAGAACAAAAAGAAAGTAGAAAATGACATTAGCCAGAAAGTATTTGCGAATTTTCGACCATTTAAGATGAAGGTAGGCCTTACAGAGAGGGTGGAGGAGGAGTCGTTTCCTTCCAGCCCAGAGAATGTAATGAAGCATGGCTACTTCTGAGTCTCCAAGCAGCGGTGACGGCAGCTCTGACTGAGGGTTTAATGGGGACTGGCGTTGAATTTCTCTGAGTTGCTGAGCATTTACAGAAAGGGGCCCGAAGTCAAAGTCAAGACGAAGATGAGGAGAGTCGCGAGCAGACGTATTGGCACACACTGACCTGTTAAGAGCTACTGGCACGAGAGAGGGAAAGCTTTCAACCATCCTCCACATAGCAAATCCATCCTGTACACAGCTGCCTTTAGCTACCAGCTGCTGAACAGCATGCAAGATGTGGTCTCTGGCTCCCGGACGACCAAACCACATAGTACGCCTCAAGGCCAGAGTGAGACCATTGTAGCCTTCGTCATTTTTGGCAGCCACTGAAGCCCCGTGTGACAGCAAAAGCTCCAAACATGTTCCGTCAAACTCGTCATCCACGTAGTTAACTTGTCTTTTTGCTGCCAAATGGAGAGATGTGTGACCCTGGGCATCTCGGGAATCTATATTAGATCCGAGTTCTATCATGGCCGCAACGGCGTCAAGAGACCTCGCCCCGAGTACTGCGCAGTGAAGAGGCGTCCGGCCTTCATTGTCCTTCAGATTGACTGTTGCTTTGTATGCACCAGCTGCAAGGACTCGGATAAGCTTGGCACTCCCTGCATGGGCGGCGTTGTGAAGGGGCAGGCGACCCTCTCCATCCCTCAGACCACAACGGGCTCCCGCGCTGAGTAGCAACTCCACCACTCCCACCATATTGCTGCTGCCGGGGTCCTGTTTGTCGCCTCGCGCAGCGTAGTGGAGAGGAGTGCTGGCGTGTGTGTCGAGAGGATCTACATGGGCACCACGAGACAAGAGAAGTCTCACTGTGGAGAAGTGACCACCACCAGCAGCCATGTGTAGAGGTGTGGCCCCAGTTGCATCCGCTATACTCACGTTAGCTCCTGCACCTAATAGCTCCGCCACGGCTTCCACAAACCCATATTCAGAGGCACATATGAGCGGAGTCTTGTTACCAAGTGCCGGTTCGCGGTAATTGACAGGGAGACCCTGCAGTAACTGGTCTCGAACTCCTTGAACGTATCTTGTCTTCAGCGCTTCTAAAAGTGCAAGGAAACGTACGTCGGGTTTTGGACCTCTGCTTAGGGGTGTCCCCGGGATTGAATCCTCCCAGGAAACATAGCGAAACAGAGGTTTCCTTCCTGTCATGATCACTGATGCACAGAACACACCATGCCACTACTAGCCCAGTATCCAAGAGTAGTGACGCTTTATGCAACAGTTCCACTCGTCTATTGTCATTTGGTTTCCACTGAAAGCCAGCCCTTACTTTATTATATAATTCCCTGCTGAGTGAGCAAGTAATACTGTTTAAACACCCCAGAAACTCCGAAGTTCCCAGCCAGTAATTCCAAGTCACAAACATGGAGGTTGTAAGATCAATGATGATGCCGTGGCGATCGCTCTTCGTCACTCCGTATCTGTTCAAAAAAAATGTGAGGTTAGTGAAACGGAGATCAAAGAAAGTATGTTGAAGGTCCCAGTATAACTAGTATAACTGATTAGTGACCCTGTCCCCCCCCCCTCCCGAAAAAAAAAGCTAAAGGTGTGTGTGTCAAGTAACACACGATGAGCATGAGGCTCGCATTAAGAATATATCTTAGAAAGTGATAATTTTTTACTGGGTGATCCTGTAAAGTAGCTAAAGGCCTGTCGAATGACCAAAAGCTCCCATTGTGTGGACCATCATATGAGCAAGACCAGCATCAAAACAAATTTTCCTATTTTTTGGACAAACAAAACATTCTCTCCCCTTCCCTTGCATTGGAAACATAGCTAGCTTTTGTTATCATATTGTCAGAATATAGATGTATAATGCGCGTGTATCTAATTTTATTAAAAAAAAAAATGCGTCTGGTTGAATGGCATGATTCTAATGACTATAGTGAGAAATGCCATTAAAATCTTTGCCTAGGGAACACCTGGTTAGCGAAGGTGACCAGGGAAATGTATATGGTACAACTTTTAGTCATTTTCTGGCCAATGTAAATATTTAGTTGGTGAAAGAAATTACTAAAACAAAACATACTGGAAGACACAGCTTAGTGAGAGCAATGTTTGTAGAGAAAATAAAGGAAAGCTCACTGATATTTCACTAACATGTAATTTTATAAATTTAAAATATTATCAACAGGAACTTAAGTAAAAGCAAAAGTCCACATCATGACTCGACGAAATACGATAATGGTTTTAGTCTGTAAATTCAATATGTTAAAAAAAAAAAAAAAGGCCACGGTATGGCACAGATATGTTGATGACTTTTGTCGCAATCTGGAAAGAGTAATGGGGTCCTGTTGACAGTGTTTTGGAAACATTAATGTAGTAATCTAATTTCCAACATAAATTTAGAATGGAAGAATTATTTAAAATATATTATAATATATATTATATATATATATATATATATATATATATATATAATATATATATATATATATTATAAACTTGAAAATAAAGAAAAAATGGAATATCAGAGAAACACTAGTTCCGATTTGACCTTGAGTACAGGTAACATCTCAGTAAATCTGATCTTACATTTCCTTACCTTCAATTATGCAAAATCATCTATCACATCATCAAAATCAATGATTTTCCCTATATAGGCTTATTTGTACTTTGTTAATATATGATAGGCTATATAAAACGAAGGATACTTTTCTTATGTTGGTGCAGCACTGTTTTGGTCATTAGTGTCACCTTTAGAGGCTCTATGGTGTCACCCCCTAAATGGTGTCACCCGGGGCGGCCCGCCCCCCCTTACGACGCCTCTGATAAATTGCCCATTGACTTAAAAGTCATAATATAGGAATCTCCCACGCTGCAAGGCTGAGGACCGGGGACCAGGGTCCGGGGCCCCGGGTTCGGGGTCCTGTGACTGGGGTTCGGTACCAGCTCTGGTAAACAACCTTGGGAAGTCACCACCTGGGAATTCCCAGGTGGTGGTGTCAACACTCACCCGGTGCTGACACTTGCCAAGCGCAGAACCCGTAAGGGTGAGGGCATATAGCTCCTGGGGAAAGGGAGGCAATCATGTTTCATTCGAGGAATGGAAGGGTGGCTTAAATTTCTTGGATGAAGAGACCCTCAGCAGCATCAAGGCAGCTCTGCGCATGTAAATATACAAGGAAAGAAATCGTGCGTCTGGAACCATTGTCTATAAATAACAAGTAGTGAAGACGAAGCTGTGAATTATTATTATTATTATTATTATTATTATATTATTATTATTATTATTATTATTATTATTATTGTTGGCTATAACTTTATTCTGATTATTATTATCATTCATATAACTTTATTATTATTATTATTATTATTAATGTTGTTGTTACGGAGAAACGCTAAAACCGTAAGAATCCTTACAGCGCCTGGACAGTGGAAGGTAATTTGGTTTGATCCGAGGTAGGGAAAGGTAGCTGCTGTTACAAAGGTTTGATTAAAGCCATAGGAACAAAGAAAGTTTTTACTATCAGCAATGTCTGAGTGTGGAACATCCTCTACTGCAAGGTCATCTATTGTTACTTCTTGATCATTAGCATAACAATAATAAATTAAAAAAACCTACGTTATAAGGATTTTTCTGTACTATTCATTATTTTAATTTGCTGCTATGGTGTGAGATTTCATCTGTATTGAAGTGCCATCTTCTGTACCATATTCCTTCTTTCCATTATACAATACAATACCATTTTTATTATGAATATGATGGTATACAATACTGAAAGGTTGATAAGACGCGCGTGCAAGTTATAGGTATCTTTATTTTTGAAACGTTACGCCTACACAGTAGGCTTCGCCAGTCAAATACAGAGGCAGTAGGTGTAGTGGCGAAATGAAGATGATGTAATGAGTCCTTCAACCTCGGAGAAAAAAGTGTTTGAGGTGGTCAGTCCCTCAGTCTGGAGAAGAGTTCAGATCCGTGATCTGGATTCGCAACTCTTTTTTAAAGACGAGGGACTGACCACTTCAAATACTTTTTCTCCAGGGCTGATGGGTTGATTACAAAACATTTCAACTTTCACCCAACTTCTGTACATGGATCTTAATCGCCAACTTGTCTTTAATTTATACCATTTTCAACATTGTTACTTCCTGAACCTCACCATTTTCATTTTATGTGTCCCCTGTGTGTCCTCAATTCTATGGGTTTGATGAAGCTTCCTCACAGCGAATCGGAAGATTAATTAGGTATAATTTTACACAGATAGGAACGAATACATTTTCTACTACTCCTGATACTACTACCACTGATACTACTAGAATAGCTACTACTACTTCAAGGACTACAAATGCTGCTACTACTTCTACTACTACTTCTAATAGTACTATTACCACCATCATTGCTGCTTCAACCACTACTACCACTAGTCTACATATACGACCACTACTACCTTCCATAATAACATATATAAATTACCTAAAACCAACAAAAATTAACTAAGTGATTTTTATTTCCATTGGTTGTAACCGTAGCCGTAGTAAATGTCTCATCACTTGCTCTTCTGCCCTATTACCTAATAGAATAAATCACGTTAAGAATGTGTTAAGACAATGTGAGCGGCTTTCATGAACATAAAAGAAGTAACAATACAGTCTCAAGTTGCCTGGGTACGCACACATGCTGTTTGTAAACAAACCTGCAACCCTCCCACACCTCTAAGAGACAACTGGAGTCTCACAGAAGCTAAGATCACCTTACAAATACCTCTCAGATGCTGAGATCACTTTACTAACACTTCTTAGAGGCTAAGATCAACTTACTAACACCTCTTAGATGCTGAGATCACCATACTAAAACCTCTTAAATGCTGAGATCACCTTACTAACACCTCCTAGATGCTGAGATCTCCTTACTAACACCTCTCAGAGGCTGAGATAATCCTCCGGGTGTAGCGCTTCCCCTTGATTATAATAATAATAATGAGATTACCTTGCTAACACTTCTCAGAGGGTGAGATCACCTTACTAACACCTTACAGAGGGTGAGATCACCTTATTATTACAGAGGGTGAGATCACGTTACTAACACCCTACAGAGGGTGAGATCACGTTACTAACACCTTACAGAAGGAGAGACCACGTTACTAACACCTTATAGAGGGTGAGATTACGTTACTAACACCTTACAGAGGGTGAGATCACGTTACTAATACCTTACAGAGGGTGAGATCACCTTACTAGCACCTTACAGAGGGTGAGATCACCTTACTAACACCTTACAGAGGGTGAGATTACGTTACTAATACCTTACAGAGGGTGAGATTACGTTACTAACACCTTACAGAGGGTGAGATCACTTTACTAACACCTTGCAGAGGGTGAGATAACCTTACTAACACCTTACAGAGGGTGAGATCACCTTACTAACACCTTACAGAGGGTGAGATCACCTTATTATCATTTCACTGAGGCAACAAAGGTTAAGATCACCTCACTAACACGTCACAGAAGCTAAGATTACCTTACGATCATCGAAACCTTCTTACAACGTGAGGATAATGAAAAACTGAAATAATGATAACTTTGTAAATTACCTCCATAAACCGTTCTAATATATCAATAAAATAGTAATATTAATGGTATACACTAGCGACCAGTAGATGAGTCGGACAACAGTGTGGCATCCTCACTGAAGGGACGTGTCTCCAGCGAAGCAGACTTCTTCAGTCGAAACACACTGGTTTTACATCCAAATTTTCGTTTGGAATGTAGAACGAGGAGAGCGAAACGTCCCTCAAGTCTGAAACAAGAATTAAGGGTTTAGGTGGTATAGTCCCTCAGTATTCTGGGGGTTTAACTTCTTCTCCACCCGATGTGGGAACCCCATAAAGGGTTTGTAGTTTCCCTACACTTTCTTTTATTTTCACTGCAGAAGCCAAGTATTAGCGAAGGTCTGGGTCAATCCTAGATACCAAACTTTTGCCCTCTGAAAAACAAAGAAAATGCTAAGGACTTTAGGTAAAGGGTTATTGTTTCTTTTAAAATAAATTTAATTGGTTTTAAACCTGTCTTGTTCAACCCATCCTTTGAAGCCCCAGCCATGGAGGGGTTGGGTATGTTTCCCGTTACACTTTGTTACTTGTTCACTGAGTGAACTAGTACCTGAGTATTACCGACTGAAATGTGGTTCCATTCCTTTTGGTGAAAAAGTCCCCTGTAGTGCCCCAGTGAAATAAAGACAGGCATTCCACGGACGCACTGAACTTTATTAAACCCGCAAGCCTGGCTAATCGGGGATTAAAAATTCCAAATAAACTTAAATCTGGCTACGTGCGGAGAGTAGTAACAACCTAGTTGATCAGTCCTTGATCCACTGGGAGGCCTGGTCGTGGACCGGGCCGCGGGGGTGTTGATCCCCGGAATACCCTCCAGGTAGACGAGGGTCAGTGATCTGAGAATACTTTAATATCTAAAACAAGGA